CTTACTTACTTCCTTCCTTCCTTCCTTCCTTCCTTCCTTCCTTCCTTACTTACTTACTTACTTACTTGCTTACACATACGCATACATGTATATACATATTTATATAGATACATATGTGCTTATTTCGATATACATAGATAAGAACATGGAGGACTCTTCCCACGCAAACATAAAAGGCACTGGGATCCTTGAATCTGAGGTGGAAGCCCACATCCTGACAGCCAGGTCTGAGTGCGCCGCCCAGTTCTGCAGAGACTTGGCCATGTGACCTTACGATTTAGAATTTGGTCATTCCTGTTTGTTTTGGGGTTTCGTCTGTGAGGTGTGGGCCCCCATAGGGCATTCAGGGTTTGGCTGGGGTCTATGTCTGCTCGTCGTATGCCCCCCAAGCTGATAGTGAAAGAGCCGCATGAAGGCCAGCTTTCGGCAGCCTGATCGACGATTGCAAGCTCACGATTTGGAGATGAAGCCGTATGGACTTAGGTCCACGCAGCTGAAAGTTCTTAAAGCGCAGTCCAAAAAGCCTCGCGCATGCTATGCTTCCTTGCTGGAAAAATTCTGAGATTGCACATTCCTGAAGCCCTCAGCAGTATGAAGTCTGCTTTCTTGGGGCTTCGAGCCCGGACGCAAGCGAGGTCGTCCCTCCAGGGCTCGACACCCACTTATATACGATAAAAAGTATGAACTATATACTATACCTTATATATATATATATGTCTACAAACTATATATACTATACTATACATCATACACAGATATATGTAGATATACACATACACATGTGTGTATATATATATACATATACATGTGTATGATTGCCCAGGTTTTTCGCACAGGTGTAGCGGGCCGAGAGTTCGAATGGCATCGCGGCGAGGGCAGGGGGAAGGGCGGTGCACGAAGGCACAACATCGGCTTTCCCACCCACGTACCGCTTTTGGGGTTTCTATAAGGCTTCTATACGGGTAGCTCTCTAATTACGGTCCCTTAAGTCCCCAAAATAGTACGGAACCCTTACAAAAAGGACTAGTTAGAGAGCGACCCAAGTGTCGGCAGTGTGTTCTGCTAGAAGCCCACCAACCAAAGATCAGGTCTTAGCAACATTTCAGCGGCTCGGTGTCGCAACTTCAAAGCTTCATGACGCGGCATTCTCTGTAACCGGCAGCCAACTCGAAGTTTCTTCAGGATGCATTTGTGTCGATATGGGGCCTGTCACAGGGTGGGTTTTAAATCAGGGTGTCTGGGCTTAGGATTTAAGGCTTTGGGCGCAGCATGGAGCAGCGGGGCGGGCCCGGATAAGCTGCAGCCCTCAACCCTCAAACCCAGCACACACCCCTTGAGAAAGAACAAGGATCAATGCCTTCAAAGCCCCATTGAAAACGCAGATCCTTTGACTAGCGGGTTCCAGGCCTCTCTCCGAGCTTAAGGCAAGGTTTAGACTGCAGAAATCACCGTTCCGAAAGGCCTTAAAGGCTTATAAGGTGTTCGTCAGGGTTCAGAGCTTCGTTCGAGGTATTTTGAGCTTCCAATGTAGGTACTTTACAGTCGACTCAGCAGACACTCGAAATGCTGCCCAAGGCAGGACAAGACCCAACAACTTGATCCAAAGTTCCAAAGACTACCGAGATCAGCACACAAACCACAAGAGAAAAACCTGCTGACTGGGCGAGCTGCCCCGGAGCCGCGCATGCTGCATGAAGCCAGCCACAAGGCGCTGCCGATGCTGTGCTAAAGTCTTCAACTCGGTGTCCTTCAAGTCATCAGTTGAAACCAGTCTTGCAGGTTAAAGGCTAACGTCTTCTAGGGATTGATGTTCGGGAAGATTGTCGGGTTTGGTCTGTGTTTGCAGGGCTTTTGGGGGCAGCCCAGCCTGCCGCAGCACTCGACCCAGTGCCAACAGACCCCAAAACATCCACACTGGCAACTTCGAACCTACACGATCGAACGACAACCTCCCGAAAATTAATTACCTATGTTCTTGTTCCATCTATGTTATAAACACAACAAAGACATTCAACAATGCAAGAACAAACATGCAATGAACAGAAGGGTAGTTCTGCAAATTGGGGTCCCCTTTAAGGGTCCTGCTTCCAAGGGTGCCGTGCTATTTTGGGGACCTGAAAAGGGACCCCAATTTAGAGAACTACCCATAAGCTTTCATCACGAGGGCTTCGGCGCTCACACTCGGCATATGTCCAAATGTTCAGGGCTTGGGGTTTTGGGGGTTCAAGGTTTAGGGTTTAAGGTGGCGGTTGGTGAACGGCTTGTGCTTGGCATGGGACAGACTTCATGACTTCTGGCAAGGTTTGACACTCGCCGCAAACTCCCTCCCCCAAAAAAAACAAAAAAAACGCGTAATGCCAAAGCTGTTCGTCTCTGGGCCGGAGCTCCGCTCAAAGAAGGAAGCCATAGCGGCTCATAAGCACCCTCGAAGGGAGGTTTAGCCAGTCTACCTCCAACTCCATATCCCAACACCGGTACAAAGTCTACTCCTGCGAGAGCACCCTAAACCCTAAACCTTCAACCCAAGATTCCTGCGAGACCTCGGAAATCACCTTTCCGACGATGATGCTGTGCATCACGGTGCCTTTCCAGCAGCAGACCACACAGGTTTTCGAAGCTTTGGTTGTTGACTTCAGACTTGCTTCTTCCAATGACGTGGAACAGCTCAGGGCTTAGGGTTTACTGTTTAGGGTTTCAGCACTCACAACTAGGACAGGCCAGGCGAGGATTCGAGTACCACAAGGGGTTTTGGGCTATTAGGGGTTTAGGGGTCAACCCTACACCCTAAACCGGTGGACGAAACTCCTTAGGCCTTCCCTGTCTCAGACGGCCAAGCAGAGTTCCGCACTGGAAAGTCTCTCAGTTAGCTGCACCAGACAGGTGGTCGTTTAGGGCAAGTTTAGGGTTTACGGCTTAGGGATTCAGAGTTTATGGCCCTAGCTTGAAGCTTCAAGGGCAAGCAAGAATCGCAAGCCTAAGGAAAGTGGAGAACGGTCTCTTGGACCGTTCAAGGCGGCTACGCCAAGTGTTCTGCACAAACGTCTCACGGACCTGTACTCTCTACGCACTTTCTACACCTGGACTTCTTCCTGTTGAATGCTAGCACCCCATGGCACTGAACAATTGACCCCGACCCTCATTTCCGATTTGCTCTTCTTCCAAACCGGGGTCTAGAATGCCATATATCATGATCCGAAACCTAAGACTCTAAACCCTGGAGCCCGACAGCCCTCAACAGCTGGGGGCCTATTAGCATGGTGAAGCACACATACAAGACTTCCGGAAGGGTCTTCACCGAGAAATCGCCGAAGCCAACCTGGCCGCTGCTTGTGGGGCCTAGGGTTCAGGGCCATGGCTGAGGACTGCAATTCGGGCTCAGGGCTGAAGGTTTGTGGGCTTTTCCTCGGCGGCCTCTTGGAAAAGCCACCTCTCCAAGCTGCTGAACATGGATCTTCTTCCGTACTATCGCTGAAACATTTGCTTCCAGAGCCATTGAAGCTGTTCTCCTCTAAATCATTAGCGAACTGCACGGGTATAGTTACAGTCTTTGTAAGGGTATGAAGCCGGCACTGGCTAAGCGTATCGGTGCATTGGTCGGTCCGGGATGTGACCATACAGCATCCTTACAAATCAGATGCAAAGCTTTCGAAAAACCCTAAACCTTAAACCCTAACCGCGACCTAAACCCAAACTACCAGCTCTAAAAGACTAAAAAGGCCCAGGGAACTCTCCAGTTGTATCTCTGATCCTAAAGCCCAAACGCCCTGAAATCCTCAAACCGTACCCAAGGGGCCTCCAGAATTAGAACAGGGTTTCGGGGTACCAGCACAGTATGCTCATAGCAAGGAGCCCTCAGGAATCATCTTCCGAACCTCCACATTAAACCCTCAAGCTCGATTCCCTGCATCCAAGGTTGATCTCAAGCATAGGGGGATTATCATGGTGCTACATGCACCTGCGTGTGTGTGTGTGTGTGAACCAAAATTCCTCTGCCGTCAAGACATGGTAGGACAAGTTGGGGCAGTTCAACGAACTAACCAGAAGTTTCTACGATCTGATGGCCCCTTGATGCCAGGATGTGACCCATCGAACCAAGAAACCCTGTAGCAAGTGGCCCGCTGTGGCCTCTGCTGTACATACCCCAAAACCGCCGAAAACCGAACGCCCGAAATGGTCCAGAAGTTGGCCCGGGCTTGAGCTTGCATCCAAGTGGCCGTCGTGAAAACAGTAAAGACAAAGTATACCTGGGTTCTAGCTTTGGGGCCCCCGCAAGTATTTATGAATAGGGAGGACTACAACAAGAAATCATAAAGATTCCGATGGCGCCATCCGGATACAGCATGGATCCATTGCTCCATCGGTGGTCTGTAGAGCAGCCTCACGGGCTTCTTGACACATGCAAAACAGCGGTCTGCGTGCGTAGTGCTGGTATTCACTCCAAATGTCTCTAGGCAGTTAGAGTCTAGTATACCCCGAAACCCTATTCTAAGTAGTAAGGCGCCTACATCATCATTCTGGGTCTTGCAAGCTGCGATAGCTGGTAGCTTAGCAGCTCACTACGGAAGTAGTCAGGCAACAAACTCTCTGTTCTTGTTCTTGCACCCTTTCCCCTCCTAGGCTCCTTGTGCCCGAAGAGCTTGAACAGGCCCTAGGATGGGTCGTGGCCTGCAGGCCTGCGTTTGGTACACAAGAAGCTCTCAGCCTTGTCGGCAGAGGTTGTACACCCTCTCCCCAGTCGATGACCCAAGGTATTGTAGAAGCCGAAATAACTACCAATATTGCTTCTTAGGGCTCCTGACAAAAAAAAAAAATATATATATTTTTATAGTATTAAAGAGCCCAGAACCTTATTCTAATTATTCAGGCCCCTGCATTCTGCGTGTTCTTGCTTCGGTGCCACAACACGACTTACGGAGTAGTTCCACCTAAGCTGAGCACAGCGCACCTGGTAAAAGCCATGCGTTTTCGGGGTCCCGGTTATGACTTCCTTATGTAAGTCCTACAAAGGATAGGTTATTTATTTGAGGTCCAGGTAGGGCTTAGGGCGCACATGCTGCCATGGCTGCAATCGCTCGTGTCAGTTGTCTTTCTTGTTAGTAGAATTGGGATTGTGTGGGAGTTAAGATGAGGGGGACCCTTGGGGATATCGGCCTTCTCAATACGGTCCCCTTTACGAGAGCCAGCAGTAGTTTTAAGAACGGTCCCCTTTACGGGGTCTCTCTAATACTACCTAGAAGTATGTCACCCTAAGGCCAGACTCATCAACATGCGTAAAGAGCCCTCTAAGCAGTTACCAGCACAGCCATACAGGCTCTACCTCATAGAAGGTTTTGGCGATCTGTGCAAGGCCCGTGAAATGTCGATCTCCCTCTCAGGAGCTGCACACAGCCCTTCGTTCAACTACCGAGCTTGAGAAGCCTTCGGGAAGCCCCAGGCCAGATGGAAGTTCACTGGCCTCAAGGCTACCTTCTTCATTCTTTTCAGGATGTTTCTAGTTCGAGTCTGTATCAAGACGCCGGGATCTTGCTATTTAGGTTTAGGGTCTGTTTTGGGACGCCCGCGTTTATATGATGCAAGCTGGCAGCATATCTTGATCTTGGTTGACGAGGCGGAAAGCCAACCAGGTTTCCATGTGGTCATCGTGGAGTGCAGCACAAAGATACCTTTGACAGTCTGGGCTCTCTGGCGTCGGGACTTGGGGTTACGGGCTAAAGCAAGCCCTAGGACTTAGACTGTAATGTAAGTTTCGCATCGTTTAGGGACGAATATACACGCACCCGGAAAAAGGATACTACGGCCAAGACGCCATCCACAAGCCAGGACGTGAACGAGCCAGATTAATCCGAGGAGTAGGTTCAGCACAGCCACGAACTTGTAGTGCTTGACCCACTCCTAGGCTGAGGGCTTAGGGTTTTGGGCTTAGGCTTCAGGGTTCAGTGTTTAGGGCTCAGCGAACTGCACAGGAATAAGGGTGCTATTCCATATACCGTTCAAGCGTCATAAAGGAAAGCCACCGAAACAGAAAGGGTATAAGTTGACTACTGGCGGACCAAGACTCAACAAGCTGAATGAGCTTCACCACGCGCAAGTACTTCAAGAGCTTCGTCATCCTTTGCCGGCGAGCACTCAAACTACAGTTGCAAGATTATAGTCCCTAGCTGTAGTTGCAATGTGATATTGCTCGTCAAAACAATGCTCCAATTTTCTCTCAAGAACTTTTACAGAACTCTACCAAATCCCACTAACGCCCGTGGAACACCCTACAACACCCAGATGATGTTCTCAGGGCCCGATAGAAATGTGCACACATCACCAGGAGTTAGGGTTAGGGGGATCCTTGGGGATATAGGCCCTCCCACGAAGGTCCGTTTTAAGAGAGCCATAAGTAGGGTTAAGATACATACTGCCTAGGAATCACCGAAGCCGCTGCCAAGGCACTGCTGCATTCGGATAATCCGAAGAGCTCGGTTCGCTTGGTTCGAGTTGATGTCCTGTTTGCAAGGGTCCTAGGTATTGATGTTGGGGAAAATTCCCAAATCATAATGGTAACTCCTGCTATGGAAACTCTACATTCTACTATATAAGTACTTAGGGCCCTTGGGGTGCTACTAAAGGCTCTACGGTTTCGGGTTCGGGCAGGGTACCTAAACCCTAAATCCTCGCGGCCAAGGTTTAGGGTCAGGGATTTAGTTGACTAGCGTTCCAATAGCGTTCCATCGGTTTGGGGTTTAGGCTCTCACAACTCGGACATGCCAGGCGAGGATCCACAGGTACAAGTCGGCGTGAAACAAGGAAAGACGGCTTTGTCTGCCACTAAGCACTATTGAAAGAACCCGTTTGGGGTTTGAGGTTTAGGGTTTGGGGGCGTGAGCTGCCTGAGTTCAAGGCAATGCACAGCGGCCCCTGAGCTAAGGCTGCGGCTGAATCCGAATCATTGAATTGAAGGTTAAGTTTAGGGTTTACGCTCTCACAACNNAACTCGGACAAGCCAGGCGAGGTTTAGGGTTTAGGGCTTGGGGCAAAAACACATCGGACGTTGGGCTCCGGTTACATAGCATGGTGCGACTGGCACCAAAGTGAAGGCGTCTACGGTGTCTAGTAACAAACCTGACTGTGAACATCTCCATCTTGACTTACACCCGTTCGGTACCCACATATTCATGTTCAGCATCCATTGACTAAGGAGGGTTCTTCAAATTATTTATTCGTGAGGGCTCTTCAAGCCACAGCAGGAATACCCTTCTCAGAACATTCCTCACACCACAGCAACATGCCGCGTAATTCAAGCAATATCATTTAAAGGATCTGGGTTCCCTGGTGTTGGGTTTACCTGGACCCCAAAAGCATGTAGAATAGTAGCCTTTATGGGTGCTGGGCTTCATCTTACCTGATCTTTGACATTTCAGTAGGGTTTCGGGTTCGAACCCACATCACGTGAGGTCCTCTGCCAGGGCCACAGAAACCAACGCTTCGACGAAAGGCTCCGGAAGGCTGGAGATCAAGTTGATGGTGAAGTTTCCCAGAATGTATCTCCGAGCCTCCAGCTTTGGGGTTTGGGGTGTAGGGTTTAGGACTTAGTGTTGGGGTTTAGGGTGTAGCGCGTCTAGGGTTAGGGTTCCGTGGTTTAGGGCTTGAGTGTTGGATCTACGGAGGGGGAATGGACTTGAAATTTGGAGGTCAGAGTGTGTACGGTTTCGCCCGGATACTCACGTCGATGCTCGAGAGTTATGCTACATTATCCTCCGCTCTCGTTCGCTCTCTCTCTCAGTCTCTCTGTCTCTCTCTCTCTCGCTCTCTCTCGCTCTCTCTCTCTCACGCTGCCCGTAATTCGATCAGCGCACACAAAACCCTGAGGTAATCAGGAATACGCTATGATAAAGCATCGTCAGGAGACACGGCTTGTTTTTGTCCGGTATAAACTCATGAATCCACCTCTTAACAGAGCTGTTCCTCTAAGTTCTTGTCTCCATAAAATCTCGATATCTAAAAATGCTGCGCTGCAGTGCAAACGAAGAGTTTGACGGTCTCGGATAGAAGTTGCCGAGAAGGTGGGAAGACTCTGCTTGCAGTGCCAGCTTCGCAATGCGCATAGACGTGCCGACCGCAAAGCCAATGAGGCTCAGGGCCAAGGTTTATTTAGGCCATGTTAGGCCCATGTGTGTGTGTGTGTGTCTGTGTCTGTCTGTGTCTGTGTCTGTGTCTGTGCCTCCACAGCCTGCTGGCACAGTGTTGCCAAGCAGGCTCGTCCTCGCAGCCCATACTGTTGTGGTGCACTCAATCTGGGCATTGGCCGTGAATTCCTGGCCTTGGCCTAAAGAGTCACGCAGGGTGTGAATGGAGGATGTGTTGACTCACTCCTGGCCCCTGTGCTCGCGTCCGCGAGGACCCACTGCCGTCTGGCTTGTGCGGTGCGAGCACTGGGGAGTTCATGGATGCTTGCATGGGATGGCCAGTCAGGGACCTCGAATCTTTGCCGGAAACCTGCTGATGATGCTTGCGGAGGCTCCCTGAGATGGCGGAGGGGAAGGCTTCCCCTGGCAGCCGTACCCTGCGTGCCGTCCATCCATCCATCCATCCATGCATCTGTCTGCCCCTGTGTGTGTGCGGATGTGTGGGTGTGAGAAGGTCTCAAAGCATGTAGCATGTGAAGCAACCAGCTCGGCATGGCGAAAGCATGCTCTCTTGGCGAGTCGCCCCTGACGGTCACCATGTCCAGTTATACCCTGCGCCCTAGCCCTTACAAAATTTCAGATTTCAAGACCCGAAGCTTCACGGCATCAGCTTCAAAACTGATAAAGGTATTTCGTACAAGGGCCTCAGAAGTGAGAGTAGATAAGCGGGGGTTTGGGCGGGGGGTATAATGTGGACTCCCGAGGACGCAGGAATATCCACGCGATGTTCTGCCTTGTTGCTCAAGCGCCATAGACCCCGGCAGGTGAAAGTCTGTGTATCGGACCGGGGCTCGGACGATGCGCCGCAAGGATACGACCTCTTTGCCATCCGAGCTCACGTAGGAGAAGAAGAAAGGTACCACAACGTCAACGACAAACCTAGGCTGCTTGGGCACACCCAAGATCGCGACGAAGATGCGACCACTATAAGAACTTCAGACATAACTCTAACAATCTACAGAATCCTACAATGAAACCAAAAATCTAGCATGATGAACAACAACGGATCTGGCCTCTCTCGAGAGAAGCCTTGAACACCACACAAGATAAAGTATTGAAGGCAAGTATTTAGGAACAAAAAACATGAATGCCACTAAATATGCACTAAACCCCAAGCGCTCACTGCCACCCAAGATGCACCACATCCACGAACCTGTCCCAATAAGACCAGAACTCTGGCTCGGCTAGGGTCTGCACAGCGTGGCTGCGGACGAAGGTCATCCTTCAAGAGGTTTGAGGCTTAGGGGTAGGGTTTAGGGTTTCAGCACTCACACTCGGACGAGCCTAGGGTTTAGGGGGGGTGGGGTTGGGGTTTAGGGCTCTGGGTTTAGGCTTTGAGGGAGGCGGGGGTTGAGGTTTGAAGGCTTTTGATTGAAGGCACGAAACCCTGCGATTAGTGCTGAGGGTTGTCAGATATCGGGCTCTAGATCTACGTGGGAAGCTTTGCTGTCCGGGTGTTCAGGGTTTCGGGTTGTGAGGCTTTAGGTAATGCAGGGGCATGAAAATTGAAAATGAAAGGGGTGTTATTTGTGGTTTACCCTACGACAAAACACAGGGAGGAACTCCAAGCAAGAGCAGTGGTACTTACTATGCTTATTATTATTATTTTTATATTTTTATTACTATTGAGGCCCTTACATTACATTAATGAGGGGGGTTCGGGGTACTTTTTGCTTAGATCTGAGTGTTTGGGCTGGGGTTCAACGACTCAAAGTTCAAGTCTAGCCTTCGGTTTAGGGTTTAGGGTTTAGTTAAGGCTTTCCTCGAAAAGTGACACTTGTTCCCACTCTGGTGCTGCTGAAAAGAGTCTGGTTCTCTAAATCAGGGTCCCTTTTCGGATCCTTTTCATAAGGCTGCCGTACTCTTTTGGGCGCCTAAACAGGGACCCCAATTTAGAGAACGACCCTTATAGACGCCCTATAGAAACCCAAAAAAGGGGACACTAATTCACAGAACTGCCCAAGAGGTTTGGAGATAGGGAGTTCCATCGTTAGTCTGGCTCAGGGCGAGACCCGAAGCTGCAGTAATCTAGGGGTCTTGATAATTAGAATCGGGTTTGGGGCTCCTTTAGGGTTTTGGGGTTGAGGGCTTAGGATTTCTAGTATAGCTAGAATCATAGGGAGCCCTAAGGAAGAATATTGGCAAGCAGTTAGTTAGTGATCTTGCTAGTGGGATCCGTAGCATACAGACTCATCATGCGCACCAAACTCTAAATTTACAGCAGCACCCATAGGGTTCTCAAGTGGCTGCAAGAATAGCATAGGGTGATGGGCAAAACAGCAGCTATAGTACCCTGACAAAAGGGAACCCAAAAGAATACGATTGCCATCGCTGACCAATATAACCACATCCTCACTCCCGCAATCCGCCACAGAAAAAACACGTGTTGAACTTTCAGATTATACCTCTAGACTACAGGAACGCAAAACGTTCAAGGGTTGGGTATTGAGAACCAACATAGGCACTTAAATGAATCCCAATCCCAATACTATTTGGAGGTTCCTTGTTATATCCCCCCGAGACCCTATTCTAGTATGAAGGCCTTTATAGCAAGCATCAGTTTGAAGACTTTAGGGCTGCCCTAGGATCTCACATGTGGCATCCAAGCATCCGATAGAGAAAGATGGTGCCAGTGTACATGAGAAGCCTGGTAGGGCTTAGGGTTTACGGTTTAGGGTTAGGGTTTAGGGTTTAGGGTTTAGGGCTGAGGGTTAGGGAGATGTCGCTGCATGGACGGCCTTGTAGTTTGGGCAGTGGAGGCTGTGCTGTGAGGCGTGGCTCTTTCGGTTGTGAAGGCCTGGGTCTACTTGAAACCGATTTTCTGAGCTCTGTGCAAAACGGACCCGAAACCGTTCCCCTGGAGACACTGGAAAGCTGCACCTCGTTCCATACGCAACACACAACACACTGCTGCTCGTTTTTGGCGTTGCAGGCCCGAGTCTCCAACTGTGACCAGAAACTGTATCAACAACCCCGAACCCTACAAATCCGGCATGCCTAACGGACCCTCGAAGCCCTACGAAGATTGAACCCGAAAGCTTAAACCCCAAAGCCCAGCGGCAGCAGTATCAGCAATGTCCACAGCTGACGCAGCCGACTGTCAGAGCGCTGAACGATCCATCCCAGGCGCCGGTGTCTTTCCTCGGCTCTCAGTGGCTGATGATTGTAGGAGTAATACTAAGGTTTATATGGGTTGGGGGTTTAGGACTTGGGGCTTGGGGTCTGACAAAATGGGCTAGTAGGTTTGGAGGGCAAAAAAAGACCGCGAACCGCAACCTCTTAATTTGGCTCTCGCGGCTGTCGCCCGACATGACAGCCTTCCGGATGAAATCCAAACCCGAAACTGTCAAGATGGTCAACGCCTATCCCTAAAGGTACAGAACCCTATAAGCCTAAGCCCTCATGCAAACCTTCGTTCGGTAGTTGGCGAAAACCTTAGACACGGCGGCTGGCCAAGCAAAGGAACCACATTGGGTATTCTGCATGTGAAGCTTGTAAGCTTGCGGGCCGGACAGTGAACAAGAAAACCCTGATTTTGCTCACGCACTCAGCACGAAACATTCTCCTCATTCGGGTTCAGGGTGGTCTGGAGCGTAGGGTCGTAAGGCTTAGGGTTTAGCATGTAGAGGGTCTACGGTTTTACGATTTAGGGTTTCGCTAAGTGATTCTTCGGTATAGAGTCTTGGAAGCTTCGAATAGAAGACCTCAATGACGAAACTTGAGATAACTCGCTATGTAAAGCCTTTCTTGGGACTCTGAAAGCACGATGAAACGGTTTACATGTACTTGGGCTCGGGGTTTTGGATTGGAGCCGGGCGACCTGTGATTTGGGTCGCTTACCTTCTCCTCTTCCTCTGAGGCTCCAAAGCCCTTCAACCTCTGAAAACACAAAATGTGTAAAACTCTATAGTCTATACCGTGGAAATCCCTGATGCTAGGCAATTTCCGGTCATTTCACCTCAATCGAGGCATCTTGGAGTCTGAAACGCAACAAGGTTGGCGGTTTCATGGTCGAGACGTCCGGACCGTCATTGCCTCTCATATCTTGCTTTGAAGGCCAACTATAATAAGAGACTACCAAACGGAACATGCCAGCTGAATGGTGTAATGACATCCGCGAAATGTGCCCTTTCTTTCAACAATTTTGGATGCTTGGCATCAGACCACAATCTACGCGGATCTGTAGCAGTATGATGTATGAACGAAGAAATTAAGCGGCCCCGAATGGACCAAGCTGGCTTGAGTTGAAGGCGTAATGGGATTACATGCCAATGTGATGAGCCAAGCCGGCGAGAAGCACCCAAGCATTCTCCATGTTTCTGAAGCTAGAATAATCTGTACTTCTGTAGCCCGCAGGGCTGTGCCAAATCCCGAGTCTGTGAACCACACTACACAACATGAACACAACCTCATGACACCTCTGGGTCCTATTCGACCAGATCTTGCGAGTAAAGTCTCCACCAGAGCTGGTTCGCTTGGTTCTTCCTCATCCTCCGACTCCTGTGAGAGCAGGGTTTTTGAAGCGGTCGGTGGTGTAGGGCGTTTAGGGTTCAGGGGTGAGGACTCTCTGAGTGAACGGTTGGTTAAGTTAGTCTAGACCGGGTATATCAAAAACACACTTTATAATACTAATACCTGAACTTCAATCATGCAAGGGCTGGTCGGGACCATCCTTTGCAAATTATGTAGGCAGACTGCAAACGTGCCGCAAACCTGAACTGAGGAGTCAGCGAGCCACGAACTGCAGCAAGCCTCAACCCCTGATCTCCTTTCTGCACCTGGGACCCTTGATCCCCGAACGACTTTTTTGCATCTGGTTTAAACCCGCAAGCCGCAGCTGCACGAATCCACCATCCCGCGCAATCCATAACCTTACCCCTGAAGCCCTCAACCCTAAAACCCTACAGCCCTAAACCCTTAACACAACAGACAGAAAATCATGACTGTGACTGTGGTCGAAGCTTATATCCTGTCGAATCGCAGACATGGGGTTATTACTAGAATGAATTATCTATTATGTTTATGGCTGATGCAGGGTCTTTAATTTAATTACACATTAGAATACGATATTGTTTCGGGTGGGGAGAAATTATAGCATGAACAGGAAAAAGAGAACCCGACAGTGTTTTGTTCAGGCTTCTAGATAGAAAATGGATTTGGACCGGGCTATGACTTAGTAGTCACATGACGAAAACTTCCATAATTGACAATGCCGTTGCACCTGCAGCTATGGTTATCAGCGTTCTTCTGTGGACTGTTGTCCTTCATGACATCCATACTTCACTCTCACAAGCCTCAGACATTTTCATAATTCTATAGAGTTGCTTTAGGGCTCAAAAGTTTCAAGATGAAGCAACACTGAGCATCATTGCTAGTCACACCGATGGCAGCAGCAGAGAAGACACGAAGCAGCAGCCATAGCGGCGTTAGACAAAAGTGTCAAGGCAGCACTAGCAGCAAAGTAGTACCGGTAGTGGAAGTGGCAGCAGTAGTAGTAGTAG